AAATTATGTTTTACAATTATTTGTTTCAGTAATATGGTGTGATTAATAAATTGGACTATAATGCATTTCATTCCAACTCTAGCACGGCTCCCAAAACATGCCCTGAAAAGATGGAGGCACTTCTATTTATATCCCTATTGATTTCTAGTCTTTGCTTCCTAGTCTTTAATCAGTTCTACCAATCTATAATGTGCATTCCTTTCTCATCTTATGACTGCTAAGTTTGTTTTTAGTGTGACTCTGTCAAAATAAAACATATCTGCCATTTCATCTTTATCCACGAGTATATAGACATTCTAAATATATATATCATCAATGAAAGATGTCACTTGAAGGAAGCCACATTAATTCTTCTTCAGCAAGAATGTTTATTTTATCTTCAATAATTGCTCAGAACAGGTTTTAAGCTAGCCAGGGCAGTTTCTTAGAACCACCAGATTCCTTTCTAGTCCTCTAGTGCAGAGGAAGATCTTGAAGACATATTTCTACGAAGAATTCTTGGATAATTACCATCTGGATTCTTGATTTACTTTCAGTTTTCCAAGAAGTTTTAAAACTTTATATCACTTTTCACCATGATTTACTTCAGTTCCTCAAGCTCTATTTTTCAAAATACTATTCCAGAGATAAAAAAGTCATTTTACATTCTCTGAAAATTGACATAAATAACTTTGATTCTATATATATTTTTTAACTTTTTTACTCTTTAAACTTATTTTCTTTGTGGTTTCCAATTCTGATTGACAGATTAGTATTTATTTTAATGTCAATAGCAATTTGCCCTCTATACAGTGTACTATGTGTACTCTTTTATGCAACTTTATCCCCCCCTCATTTCATTTATAAATAGAAAATAAGGTCCATTTCTTTATCAACTAAGAGGCATCCAAATTTAGATACATTTTAGGTCAAATGTGATTATATTGAATTTCCTTGGCAATCCACTTATATTTAGATTTAATAACACTATGGCTACTGTTTCCAATGAATTCAACAATCTTTCGTTCTAAGATTCTATATCTAATAGGGAAAGATATATGTAATTCAGAAAGGATTCAATTATTTGAACAAAACTTGGTAACTAAAATGAATTATGAAAAAATAAAGTTTATGCCATAAAATTTTAAAGCTTTTACCATCAATAGTCATACATTTCATTATTCTAAATCTGACATTTTGTACTCCTCACAACAGCCATTTTGTTAATGGACATTTCCCCCACAAGAGCCATTTTGGGACAGCACTTCTAACATTTTTCGCAAAATTCCAAATCTGACCATTGCTGCTGAAATACAGGATTTTTTTCCCCTTACATCACAAAATGAAAGCTATATCATATTCTTCTCTGGTTTTGTTTTTCCTACATTTTTCCTTCAATTAATTTTGGCTGCCCTTTTTATCACCTTTGCAGACTGAGATATATGCACAGGTAGTCTTTGACTTACAACAGTTCATTTTGTTCAAAGTTACAACAGCACTAAAAAAAGTGACTTATGACCTTTGCAGTAATGCAGCATCCCCATGATCACGTGATTAAAATTCAGACACTTGGCAATTGACTCATATTTATGACAGTTGCATGTCCCGGGGTCATGTGATCACCTTTTGCAACCTTCTGACAAAGTCAATGGGGAAGCCGGATTCACTTAACCATGTTAATAACTTAAGAATTGCACTTAATAACAGTGGCAAGAAAAGTCGTAAAATGGGATAAAATTCACTTAACAAATCTCACTTAGCAACAGAAATTTTGGGTTTAGTTGTGGCCATAAGTCAAGGATTATCTGTACTTGCTTTTGAAATAATCTCATAAACTAAGAACCAGTTGGGTTTGTGACCATCTGACTTTATACTTCTCTTGTCTAATATAATTCCATTATCCACTACGAAAGACTTGAACCAAGTTTTATAACTAGAAAGACTTGAACCGAGTTTTATAACTAGTTCTAATTGTTGACCTAACTTTTTTTTTGATGTAATTTTTTATTCACCTGGGATTAAGCTCAATTGGACTCAGCCTTAACTCAATATTGAATTGTCTGGATATGAGACAAAGAATCTGAAAAGAAAGAAGGGCTGAATTGAGGTAAAGGTTAGGAAAGCTATAAAATAGTATTAGAGGCCCTAACCTGCTTGAAGCAAAGCAAGGGCAGCAGATCAGTTTTATTCTGCTGGGAAATTTCCAGATCTAATTGATCACCGTGCATTTTCTGTCCCCAGTGATTTAGCAATGTGAGGAAAACATTGCTTTTTAAAATATAAATATTTTTAACAAAATGCAGTATGACTGATTTTAGTATAACTAGGATCATGCATGAATTTTAAAGTAGTTTGTTCAATTGGGTTTAATAGGCTGTGTTAACCAGTGGCTCATTCAACAAACCATAACTTAATCACCATCGGTTTTCAAATATCTTGAAGATTTGGCTTTTTTGATACATCCAGGAGCAGGATGGTTTGTGACCCGACTTTCCATTTACACTTTTGTAACAGGTTTTTTTTTTTAAATTTCTGCACTATGGGTTCTAGCTACTTTACTTTTTCATCCGTCTTGTCTTGCCTTAATCCTAATTATGTATATTCCTTAAATGCATAGATTTGCAGTTGTGATTGAAGCAGCCTATAAGTTGATTAATTAGTAAAAAAAAAAACCATAACACCTTGCCTTGAATTGTTGGGAGGACAGGCAGAATATAAATCTAACACAATACTTGCAAACGCGGGGAAGATCCTGAACATGTAACATGAAGATACATAATTAAATTAACAAGATTCAGACGCTGCTTTAGTCCCGATGGACGCAAAGGAACGGGTTTATTCTCCTGGGCCAAGGGCTTAATGCAGACGATCCTTAATGCAGGATCGTAATTTATATTGTTGGAATAAGTTATACTGGATCGATTTAGACACGATTGCAACATAATAAGCCTAAAATGGAGCCTCTTTTCGCTCTTCCCACAGAATTAGCGCGTTCCCCCCCCCCCACGCTTCGGGCTCTCCCTCCAGTCTGATTACAGGACCGCAGGCATCCCTAAGCCTCCCTTTTCCCTTTAAGGACTTCTGCTCTTCTGCCTTAATTGCCAGGATCGCCGGCGTTTGCTCCAAGCCTCTCCCGCTTCTCCTTCGTTCCCGAAGGCTTTTCCAACAAGCACCAGAGTTTCTCCTTTGGGTGGGGTCCATCAGCGTCCCTCCATTTTCGGGGGGGGGGGAAGGAGAGAGAATGCTTTTTTGCGCTCAACTCTATCTCCCCCCCCCCATCGGTGAGAGGAAAGTTACGCTCGGAAGCGAAACTTGCACGTGTTTAAAAAAATAAAAAATAAAAAAAAATGAAAAGGAGATTCCCCCCCTTCTGTCTTAATAGGAATTACCCCCCCTCCGCACACAGACACACATAACACGCACACACACACCTGGGCGGGTCAAGCTAGGTAGGGAGCGGGCAATCCAACACGTGCAGCCTCCGCCCGTGCCCCCCCCCTCCGTCTTTCCCTGCGGGCGTTTGAAGAGGGCGCCTCTAGTCAGTTAACTCCTGACGTTTGGGTATCATGTGAATGATTTGAGTTCCCATGGTTCACTCTGAGCCGAGGCTTGCCCCACCCCACCGCCGCCTCGCTCGCGCTCCCCCCCTTCCTCGCTCGATTTTAATATTAAAATCGCCCCCCCCCACCTTGTCCTCCTTCGTGGGGAAATGCAGGAAAGAGGAAGGAAAATTAAATAGGGAGTGGGGTGGGGGGGGAGCGCGGAAGGAAAGCTCCCCATAGGAGAGTTATTTTTGTTTTGGGGGAGGAGATCCACACTGCGTTTTCCTCTCGGCTGCCTCTTTCCTCCTCCTCCTCCTCCTCCCCCCCCCCGTCCCCTTTACCCCTCGTCTCCCCGCATTTGCCGGAGAGGCGAGAGCCGATCGAGCCGCCTGGAAGCCGAATAAGTGAATAAGCAAAAGGGCGAGGAGGAGGAGGAGGAGGAGGAAGAGGGCCTTGGATTTGTACAAGCCACCATTAGGGCAGGAAGACGCGCAGCAGCAGCAGCGGCCGCCGCCGCCGCCGCACCGCAGGCTGGAGAGAGGAGGAGGAGGAGGAAGAAAAATCTACCCAGCCCAGCCCGGAACGCAGAAGGGAGACTCGCCTTTTGCCTGCCCGACGCCGCGGAAAGGTTAGCGGTGACCCTTTCGGGCGCTTCACCCACTTTGCAGGAGGCGCCTTGGAAGGGGAAGCCGCCGGGCTGAGGAGGAGACCGAGAGAAAACGGGCAATTATAGCCCAAAAAAAAAAAAAAAAAAAGGCCAGCTAAAGAAGAGGGACGTTGCTAGAGCCTCGGTGCCCGGAATTGGGAGGGTCTCCCCCCCTCCCTCCCTCCCTCCCTCCCCCGCCGGCTTTCTGGAGCTTGTTTCTGCTGCTGCTGCTGCCTCGATCCCGAAGGATTATATGTAAAGTGGAAGAAGACAATTTGGCTTTTATTCTGTTCCCTCACCGCCGGCGGAGGTGGCGTGGAAGCTGGAGATATTTAAAGAAAAACCCACCCAGATTTTGGTGGTGGCGGCTCTCTCCCTGCGGGGTTTGGGGGGGCGAAGGAGGAAAAGGGAAGCCGATTTTTAACCCGTGATCCTTCCCCCCCCTTCGGGTGGCTGCCGACCTCCCTACGTTCCCTGCCCCCCCTCCCTAATTGCCTTCTCCCCCCCCTCTTGTGTTTGTGTGTGCGCGCTTTTTTTTTAATTGGGGGGGGGAAAAATCTGCATTGCGAGCGGATTCTGGCGGCGGTGTATCGGAGAAGGAGGTGAAGGCCCGGCTTGAGCGGTAGCAAAGTCATCGCTCCCCCCCCCCCTCTTTCCCCGGCCCCCACCCCGTTGTCGGCTCCGGGCTCTCCATGTCTCTGGGTAGCGACAGCTGTGCGTGAAAGAATAATATTGAAAAGGGAGCAAAGGAGACTCGCCGCCGCCTCGCCCGCGACCCTCGATCGCTTCCTGCTTCCCCTCCTTTTCCCCTTCCCCCCTCCCCCTCCATTGCACCCCCCCAAGATGGGCTGTTTAGGGAACAGCAAGACTGAGGATCAGCGCAACGAGGAGAAGGCGCAGCGAGAGGCCAACAAGAAGATCGAGAAGCAGCTGCAGAAGGACAAACAGGTCTACAGGGCCACGCACAGGCTCCTCTTGCTGGGTAAGGCGCGCGGGCGGCCGGGGGCGGGAAGGGAGGGGAGAGGCCCCCCTCCTCCGGGCCCGGGGGGGGGGGACGGGTGGGCTGGCTGGCGGGGACTGGGCAGGAGAGGTGGGGCCCTGCTGGCTGGCTCGCCCGCCCGCCGCCTCCAATGAAGCGGGCCCCGTGCCAGGAAGAGGACGGGGCGGGCGGAGGGGTTTTGCTTTCTGCCCTTTTCCCAGGCTGGCGGCCCCGGCTTGACATCTCCGGGTGTAAGGAAGCGGCCGAGATGTCAAAAGGAGGGGGGGGGAATGGGAAGAGACTGGGGCTGTGGGGGGGGGCTGGAAAGAAGTAGGCCTTGGCCCTCCCTGCTGGTCTCCCCATCCTGCACCTTGGACTAAAAGTGGGGGGGCTTGGGGGGATGACCCTTGGGGAGCAGAAGTGTCCGGGGAGGGACTAAGAAGATCTCCAGGCGAGTTCAGGAGGGGGTCTTTCCCCCCTCCCCTTTTAAAATTACCTTTTTTGTGGGCTTAAGGTGGAAGGGGTGGCCTGGTCACTTCCTTGCCCGAAAATTCCACAGATGACACATTATTAGGATAATACAACTATTTTAATAACGCTCCTTTTTCTTCTCCCCCCCCCCCATAAGACCCCATTCTTCTCCTTTGAAAGCCCTTGGCCTTCCTTTTGGGTTTGGGACTTTTTTTTGGCCCCCCAAAGTTAGTTAATAAATAAAAATTACTTCATTCTACCTCTGCCCTTCTGCTTCCATCGCTTGTCGTTAGCTTGTGCAGAGTGATAAGGGTGGGCAAAGCCCCTCTTTTCAAGTCATCATTTGGGCCGCTCTTAACTGCCGGAGTGAACCGGTGGGTGGGATTGAAGGGAAAAGTCACTTTCATATAAATAAAATATTCGGATTGATAGTGACATGGATGGCTTTGGGGATGCAACAAATATATTCGGCACTTCCGTTAAGGTACTTGATGCCACAGGCCGTTGGTGGGAACTGAAGTAAATATAGTAGATGGAAATAGAGGATATAAGGAGAATCAGGGCTCACTCTGCTGTCTGCTGAAGATGGCACATTAAATCCTTGCAGGAAGTGTGTTGAATTTTTTTGCAGTATGTTGGTGAGGTGGAGAGAGAAAAATATAAGTATTTCTTTGGAGATATAAGGGAAAGGGGAGTAGGCTAAAGAGCTAATACTTGGTTAAATTTTAAATACAGGAATTGGGTTGCATTCTTCTCTTTGGTACTTTTGTTGAAAATGGGACTGGGAATAAGTCTTTCTGTACAAAGAGTTGTGGTTTTAGCAAATGTCGGTCTTGATATCACAGAGTGGCCTATTTGGATATATTTTCCACAGTCTTTCCTTTCTACAGTTTTATCTGAAGATCCTGAGTAAAAAATAAAGTGAATAGTACATTTTCTGACATGTATTTTATCTAAATATGATAGTGCTCTTGAGTAGAGTATTCCTTCTGAATAGACTGACTTTGGGGAGTAAGAAAAGAAAAGCGAGGTGTGAGAGTTTTACAGTGTTGATTTGGAGAAGGACTAAAGATCAATTCAAAGAATAACAATGTTTCCTATGATAAATGATTTGTTGAGATCCTGTTTAACTTAAGTTGGAATGAAATAGTTGACCTTACACATACATTTTACAGACAGCCGTTATTGCTACGATTACAATTTAAGAATACATACAGTACTGGATATTAAAATCTTTTTAAATCATTTGATTTACTTCCATATATGTACGTTTTAGGCTGAGTTTAATATGTTTTTGAAATTCTGATGATCAGAAAAGTGCTGAGGGAAAATGTGCAGACTCTTCATAGTTAGAACATGTCTTTTATGTTTGGCTGGGCCTAAATGTATAATCATACATAGTAGTTTTGTGATTGTACAAAACAGTTAACAGCAAGAAACCTTTGCTGTTGTAAATGCTATAAAACAGCACAATGCAGGGCATTTCAAGTATTCCAGCATATTAAAACATGTTAAGAATAATTAAATGGGGGAGGAAGCTTTGTCCCAATCTTATTTATAAGGCTTGATATATTTTAGGATACTTAATGTAGTGTCTCAATTGAAGAAACATTTAATGGTCGTATTAGTGACATATTTTGTGGCTTCTAGTTATATGAGAAAAATTAACACTGTTCAATTTGGTCTTCTATAGATCAATACTAGCAATGTTGGGGTTAATGTTTTCATTTAAATATGTCATTGCTTCAGTATAGGTTGGTTTTAATTTTTAGGTCTCTGGTATTATAAGACAGTACTTATATATATTTAAGTGGAAGATGTGGGAAACACCCTTGATTTTGATCAGCTCTCTTACTGCTTGGTAGGAAAGACATTATAGTTCTGTGACTGGCAAGGACTTGATGCAATTATTTGTCTGGCTACAAGAAATAGGGAATTTGATTTTCACCAGTATTTATGAGGAATGAAAGGAAAAGGCAGTGAAAATCTAATATTTTGGTCTCGCCGCGTTTAATGGGTGGATTTGAAGAAGGCTGAAAACATTAGCAATGTGCTATGGTAATCAGGGGCCAGAATGGCCGGGCAGATAAAGACAGAGAAAGAGAAGGACAAAATTGGAGCCTTCTGCAGCCAAATAGCCTTTGATATATAGCTGCTAAAATTTAGTTTTGTGTATGAGACTCAAAATGGAGGATTGTGCTGTAGTGAGTGCTAAGAGAAAGCTTGGCACCACAGATACTACAGTGCTTTTGTGAGCAATGTCCTCTTTAAGCAGTGTACCCATTCCCCCCCCTCAGGCTGGTGAGAAGCTATCTTAGAAAATGAATTGCCATGCCAAACGATACTGGGGTATCTGTGGGTCTGTGGTAATAAAGAAGGTCTTGTGCTCCTGTAGAAGAAAAGGGTACTTCTGGGTAAAAACAATGCAAACTGGAATAGTTGGTATCTTCAGCCAGATTTTGTGGCTGAAACCATCCCTTGGGCTGGTTGAGTGGGGTCAGATTTGGAGAAAGCTTGTTTCAAGAGGGGGAGAAGGAGAAAGGGTAGGGAGCAGAACCAAGGATGTAGGCTGTGCAGAAGGGTAGACAGTTTGAGGTCATGGAGAATATGTTAAGTTGATGGAGCAGATGGAAGATACAGTACAAAAGGAAACTTTTAGGCAACAGTGGAGTGAGGGGAAAGACCAGGGAAATAAGTGTCTTCAATGTTCAGTGCATTTGACTGGCTGTGGCATGGGTGGAAGGGCTCAAGGATCTCCAGACCAAATTGGCCAGTGTTTTGCTCAGTATGGACTGCAGCAATTTGGTCTTGCTACTTTCATGGGTTGGAAATGGTAATAGCATTAGATGGTCTACCTTTTTCCTCTTAAGGTATTAGAGTTCTACATTGTGCCTGTTTCAATAAAGACACTGGAAAAAATGGATAGCGAAGCATTCCAAGCTTCTACTCTCACACATGACTTTAGCTTGGCATTTATTTTTAGTTACAGTTGCAGTTTCCAGTGGCAATTACTTTTTTTTTTCCTTTCAGTTTTCAAGTTTGGATTGCATCGGCCAGGTTTGGGGACTATTGCTTGTTGAACAGGAGCAGTGGCACACATCCCCCTGGGGTTTCTTCTACTATTTCCTGAAACAGATTTGTTTTTGCTTTCTAGGTGCTGGCGAATCTGGTAAAAGCACAATTGTCAAACAAATGCGGATCTTGCACGTCAATGGATTTAATGCAGAGTAAGTATCTCTCATTCTGATTACATTACTTGAAGATGCAGGTGTCATTTCATTTTGAGAATTATTTTGTGGATTCCTCATCCCTCTCCCCTGTGTTTCATTTAATCCAGGCCATGGAGATTAGATTTCAGAAATATTTTTAAGGAAACTGTCATTAGCTAACTTCATCAAAGGTTTGCTTGTCAGGTTTTATGAAGGCAAGGTTTTGGCAGCCATTTCTTCCTCGTTGTGGCTGACATGGCAGCTTTCGCTGTCGCTCATTATTTTGTGCTGTTCTCAGTGCTTTCTTGCAAAGAAGAGTAAACATGAAGTAAACGCCACATACTTGATTATACAACATTTAAGATTTACCGTACTTCAGGAATTTTTTCTTGTAGTGGTGTGCTGTTTTAGATTGTTGACCTATACCAGGGGTAGGCAACCTTGGCTCTTTTATGACTCGTGGACTTCAACTCCCAGAATTCCTGAGCCAGCATGGCTCAGCTGGGAAACCTCTCCCTTTTCCCTCAGCATGGCTGGCTCAGGAATTCTGGGAGTTGAAGTCCACGAGTCATAAAAGAGCCAAGGTTGCCTATCCCTGACCTATACAAACTGTAGTTGCAATTTGTTTTTCATAGATGGATAAAACACTTCCATATTGTTTAAGTCTTTTGGTCTGATGGGGCACATGTTATGATGTGTGTAGATAATTCAGAATTTAATTGACAGGTTTAAAAAAAACATTTAAATGTTACATTGCAACCAAGCCATTAAAGTTAGATACTTTAAAACCTCTCATTGGGCATTTATGCAGAAGTGGGACTAGAAACAAACTGTGTGTGTGAGGATCTATGCAAATTAATGGTCTTTTAATTAGTATTCTGGGTTGGAATACATGCTTTATAGAAAAATCTAAGTAATTTCCTCAGAAAGTGTCAATTCAAAGACCTCTTTTTTCCCCCTTCAGAATTATGCCTTAAGCATTTCTTTTCCATATGCTGTACCCAAAACCCTTTGTTGGTAACATGCACCAGAATCCAGCTATCTGCTCCAGTCATTTTGAACACCCAAAGTCCTTTTCTGGTGTTGTTTTTTTATGGCGCTAAATGCAGAGAACTTTAAAACTGAAAATAGTGAAGAGGAAGGAGACATACAAAAACAGTTTGTTACAATGGCATGTAGGAGCCAATTTGAGGTGGTGGTAAAGGCCTCATGCTGGAAACCTGGAAATCGTGAGTTCTAGTTCAGACTTAGGCAGGTAGCCCTCTCGGTTACTTTGGGCCATTCGTTCTCTCTCAGCTCTAGGAAGGAGGCAATGGCAAACCAATTCCAAAAATGTTGCCAAGGAAATTGCAGGGGCTTATCCAGGCAGTCGCCAGGAGTCAACGCTGATTCAAAGGCACTCAGAGAAAAAAAAAAGTAGAAGAAGCAGCTCCACCATTGGGGATCTGATGTCAGAAATCCCACAAATACAGCAGCTAAATATAACGAGGCATTTAGATCCCAGTTTTTGTACTCCTCATTAAGTTCACATCTGTTACATCATAGGAAGTTCGCTGGTTACCAGGCCAGAAGGACTATGTTTTGATTCTGTCTGTCTCAGCAAGATACTTCCAGGAGATGCAGACTTTATTGAAATTTTCTCCTCACCTTCCTCTCAAGTGTGTTCAGTAATATGTTGCTTCTGACCGTTGCAGTTCTGTTTACATAGCCAGGCTAATTATTGCAAAGGACTTAACTTTGAATTTATTCAATTTTTCCTGAAAACATTACAAGCTAGTGTGTTGTGTGAAGATATACTAATTGTTGCTGAACAGATTTAGTGCAATTTTGAGTTATGAAGAAGTATTTTTTCCCCCCAATGGATATTTTATAAAATCTTTTGGATTCTCCAAACCAACAAGTCATAATGATTCTGTTTCATTTTTCCCCTTGGGAGAAATTGCTGGACTACCATGATCAGGTTTTTACATCTTGCCCTATGCTGTGTCTTTCAAAGAAGGAAGTGACCTGTATCATACTTTAGTGACCTAAGTGCACCTTATCATGCTTAATCTTTGCTAGTTTGGAAACGCTTGTTTTTGTTGCTCCTAACAAGCTATGGATGGCTTGGCTCTTCTCAGCCCTTTGAAAAGGGAGACCCTCAATTGTCTGTCTCTCTCGCTTGCTATCTTTTATCTTTATTGATGTTATTGTAATTTCTTTGATTGTATACAGATTTCATAAATTATTATTTTATATACACAACAATGTGGAATCACAGTTGTGAGGTCTTTAACTAGCGTTGGCCTTCATAGGCATTAAGTTCTTCCCAAGAACCTAGGACAGGGGTAGGCAACCTTGGCTCTTTTATGACTCATGGACTTCAACTCCCAGAATTCCTGAGTCAGGAATTCTGGGAATTGAAGTCCACGAGTCATAAAAGAGCCAAGGTTGCCTACCCCTGTCCTAGGATGTTACTGTATAGTATATTGGCATAGCATTTATTTATTAAATTTGTTTGCTGCCTATCTTGTATATGTGTGGATCAAACAGGTGGCCTTCTGTAATTGACAGATGGAAATTTTGTCCATGTGTAGACTTTCTAAGCACCATTCAAGATATTTTTGTTATGGTACTCAGTGAATCACCACGACTGGTTTATGCCATAATCTTTCAACTTTTCAGACCTTGATATTTTGTATTCTTCTCCAATTCTTTGTCTTTTATTCTACTATTCCCTGGTTCTTGCCACATCGCTTAGCCACACTTTACTTTTTTTTATTTTTCACAATTTTATTTTAACTTTTTATTATCCACATTATTATTATGGTTTGTCACACAGCCAGATGTATAAAATTTGGATAATTAAATTTGACATTATAATTGATAAGTCATCTGTGTAAAGGCTACATAAGTGATCCATCCGTACGATGTTTCAGATAAGGCAGTAGCTGTAGTTTGGCTGATAGTCCATCATAGTGTTACACCTTTCCAAAAAGATGACTTTGAAATATAGCTTTCCCTTTAGAAAAAAGATACGTATCTAGTATGTGGTTTTGGTTTTTTATGTGCCATGGTGGCACAATGGTTAGAATGCAGTATTGCAGGCTAATTCTGCTGCCAGGAGTTCGATTCTGACTCACTCAAGGTTGACTCCACCTTCCATCCTTCTGAGGTCAGTAAAATGAGCTAGATTATGCTGACTCTGTTAATCGCTTAAAGAGGGCTGTAAAGCACTACGAAGTGGTNAAATTGATGCCCTCTTGCTTCATCCCCTTTTCAAATCCTGAGCTTATAAACTACTCCATGGATCTGTTGAAGTGAGTTACAGCTGACAAAAGCTTCTCCTTTAAAAAACTTGTCAATTAAGAGAAGTGCTACCAGATTCCTGATTAAGACTACCATTTCTGTCTATGACATTTTGTTTATGGTCATGGGTATATTTATCATTAAAGAATTTTATTTCTTTTCAATTATTGTGTTTTTAAAAATAAACTTTTTTTATGGATTTTGATTTTTGAATTCTCAGCCAAAATTACGTCTAAAATGCATTTTAACTGCTCGTTTATGTTCCAAAAAGATATCTGCTTTGTTCCAGCGTATTTAAAAGTTACGCATTTTATGATTATTTTTCCTTGTTTTACAAATAATTAGATATTAAGCAAGTTTGATATCTGCTACTAGACTTTCTGGCTAGATAATGTACATGCACAAATTTTCTTATGGATTCCTTGCTAAATTCCTCATTTCGTAGCATTTTGAACTTTTTTCAATTAATTAGTGTTCTAACTTCCCATTTTTCCCCCACAACAACCCTATAAGGTAGATTGCAGTTAAGGGAGGGGTAGACTTGCCCAAAATCACCCAGGAAAAGCTTCTGGGCCTGAGGCAGAATTTGAACCTGGGTCTTTCTGGTGCTAGTTCACCATTCTGCCAAACCAGGTCTCCAGGGCAAGGCACTTTAAAGGGCTAGACCTCACAATAACATGTACAGTACTACATAAATCTAAGTACTAGTGTGATTTTAGCATTCAGAGTTTAAGAACTGTGAATGTTTGTTTGTTTGTTTGTTACAGTGTGTGCTGGCTATGATTTCACCAACTCCAAGCCTGTTGATAGATTCCCATTTTAGTCACAAAATGATCATCGTTCAAATGGATATCTATGTAGGCCAGTGGTTCTCAACCTTTTTAATGCCGCGACCCCAACCGGTCGTAAGTCAAGGACTAAACCGGTCATAAGTCGAGGACTTTCTGTGCCCGGGAGCGCCGCGCATGCGTGGTTCCGCCCCCTGTACCAGCCGAGGCGTAGCTGGCAAGCGGCAGAGACGGAGCAGGCCGACCACCAGCTGGCCCAGCTCAAGGGAGGTAAGGCACCTGCCGGAAAAGGGGAAAAAAATGGCGGACAGCCTTGCTTGGCGACCCCCGTGAAATGGTCGATCGACCCCAAATGGGGTTGCGACCCATAGGTTGAGAACCGCTGATGTAGGCCTACCTAGTACAGTGTATACAATGCAAGGAACCCAGAAAAATGTGTTTGGCGTTTTTATCTCTTTCAGTTTCACTGGTCATGCTAAAATTCAGTATTGGCTGAAAGTAAGAAATTGACTTCTAGTTTACACCAATTAATTTTTTATGGACGTTATTACAATAGAAATTGTCCAGATGCGAATTTGTTCTTTTTTTGCTTTAGTACAGGCCTTTTCAGCTGTGGCTTTCATAAAAATATTATAGATTCTACCTTTTGTAGTTATTACGAAGATCCTATAGACAGTTTGATTTCATCAAGAGTTGTTTTAATTTTATTTCTGGCCTAATTTAGTTTATGTAATAGTGTTTTTATTCTTGCTTGTCCACACCATGATGATACTGGACTTGGTATTTGTATTCTAAGATGTTTTGTGAAGACTGGCAATATAAGGTAGAAATAAATAAAATAACGCTTAATAGAAATTAGTATAGCGGCATTTTATATTTTATAAAAAGTAGAAATAAAATCTTGCATGTTTAATGCTTTATGAAGCATCTGGAAACACTGTT